GGGAACACTCTGGGGTTGGGCACTTCAGGCTGGGCACTCCAGGGAGTCTCTGATGATGCTCTGCACTCTGGGGTTGGGCACTCCAAAAGCTCTTTGGGGGATACTCTGGGGTTGGGCATTCCAGAAATGCTCTGATTTTGCACTGGGGGCTGGGCACTCCGGGGTTCTGTGGGGGATTAGGTGGTGGGATTCTCTGGGGTTGGGCACTCCAGGCATTCTCCTGGGATGGTCCTGGGGTTAGAGAAGCTCTGGCCACGAAACCCTGAAAAGCCCTAAAAGCCAAAAATGCCCCAAGAAGCTCGCAACCCTCATTATCCCGAAAAAGCCTTAAAAACCCCAAGACCCTCACTGCCTCCAAAAGACCCTCCCCTAAACCCTCACCCTTAACCCTAAACCCAAAAACCATCATTTCCCCTAACCCGTAACCCTCAACCCTAAAACCCTGATTTCCCTAACCCTTTAACCCCTAAAACCCCAAACCCTAAACGCCCTAAGCGCCCTCAAACCCTAAACGCCCTAAACCCTAAACCCCAAACCCTAAACCCTAAACCCTAAAACCTATAAACCCTATAAACCCTATAAACCCTATTAACCCACCCTATAAACCCTATAAACCCTATGAACCCTGTAAACCCTATGAACCCTATAAACCCTATGAACCCTATAAACCCTATAAACCCTATAAACCCTATAAACCCTATAAACCCTATAAACCCTATCAACCCTATAAACCCTATAAACCCTATAAACCCTATAAACCCTATAAACCCTATAAACCCTATAAACCCTACAAACCCTACAAACCCTAAACCCCTATAAATCCAAAACCCCAAATCCCCCCCCCCCCACCCGCCCCTTCGCCCCTTCCCTGTAAAAGAACCCAAGAGCGCTGCACAGGATGCCGCGGCTCGAGTGGTTGGACCTGGAGCTGAACGGCCCAGCGCTTGGAAGATTTCCCCCACTAGGCCCTTAGACGGGTTTGGGGAAAAGGGTTTAGGGTTTAGGGGTTAGGGTAAACGGTGGGGACTCACATAAGCAGGCCAGTTCACACCCAAGGTCTTTCTGGGGCTAAACCCTAAACCCTAAACCCTCAACCCTCAACCCTCAACCCTCAACCCTCAACCCTCAACCCTCAACCCTAAGCCCTCGAACCCTCAACCCTCAACCCTCAACCCTCAACCCTCAACCCTCAACCCTCAACCCTCAACCCTCAACCCTCAACCCTCAACCCTCAACCCTCAACCCTACGCCCTGACAAGCCGCCAATGTGGCAGGCATCACGGACATCGGGGCGAGTGCCTTGGGACAAGCGCTGTCCCAGGTAGCCGGCCTTGCTTTGAGGGAGCTGGACATGCGCGGCAACAAGGCCGGGGACCCCGACCTAACCCGAAGAGGCCGCCAGAGTCCCTGAAACCCAAAGTTTGGGTTTGCAGTAGGGTTTAGGGTTTAGGTATTGGGGTTTAGCGTTAGGGTTTATTGAACCCTTTTTAAAACACCACTTCCTACGACCCTAAACCTGAAAATGCTCAGCCCTGAGCCCTGAAGTTGTAGGGGGTGCGTTTAGGGTTTAGGTGCTTAGTCTCCCATGCAGCCCTGTGTTTTTTTTGAATAGAGGGAAGCAACGTAAGGCCGAGGGGAGAGGTACTTGTATGTGACTCTAACCTGACTGTAAATCCTAAACCCTTCACCCTAAACCCTAAACCCTAAACCCTACCCTGAACCCTACGCAACGTCGGGCCGAGGAGAGAGGTACTTGTATGTGAGCCAACCCGAGATTCTTTTGCGCAAACGGCTGTCGAGAGAAGAGAGGGCCAAAGCAAGGGGATTCCCTCTGAACATGCAATGTCAAGGAGGTTTGGTTGTAGCCAAGTGTTTCGGGTTGGGCTTCAAAGGGCTTCAGGGTTTAGGGTTTAGGGTTTAGGGTTTAGGGTTCAGGGTTTAGGGTTTAGGGTTTAGGGTTTAAAATTTAGGTCCCCCCAAAACGAGGCCCCGAATTGATCAGAGGGTTGCACCAGGTTGGACCAGACGGAAGTTCACGTGCGCGACCCAGAGCCAGGATGTGAGGTTGTAGAGTGTTGATGTTCCCCCTTATACTAGCAGTCCTTAATCGGAAGTATGTACTCCCTATTATGATCCCTAGGACCGTTAGCATCAGGGGGAACATCCCAAGTTGTAGAGAGTTTTAGGGTTCGAGTTTACGGAAGCAAGGAACCCCGACAGCAGACCCCCAAATAGTCGGATTCCCTTACAATAACCCCCTATTTTGGAAAGCCCCGTTTAGAGTTGAGTTTACACGTTTCTCACTAGAGGCCCGATGAGCCGTCTAGAGCCTAGAAGCTCTGCCCCATGCGCCCTGGAAAGTCTTGTTAAGCCTCAAAAGCTCCTGATATCTCCTGATGAAGCCTGATGAAGTTTCAGAAGACCCAGTCAGCCCTACATGACAAACACAGAGGATCCCCACATATATATTTAGGGTTGGGATGTTCCCCCTTATACTAACAGTCCTTCAGAGGGAGAATCGCACCCCATATTGTAATCTATATTAAGGACTGTTCGTATAAGGGGGAACATCCCAAGTTTAGGTCAGGGCTTTTTTGAGGCCTTGTACGTATCTTAGGATGCTCCATTGACCCTAAACCTCTCTCAGTCAGCCACCCCAAACAGACCCTAAACCCACATCCCAAAAACCCTAAACCCCAAACCCTGAACCCCCAAATGTCCAGAGTTTTTGATGGGCTGCATCGAAAGCCCTGCCAGGCTTGGAGGTGGCCAGAGCCAATCTGGCGGGACTGCAGCTGGCGCCTGAGCAGATCTCGTTCTGCAAGTTCGGTTTAGGGTTTAGGGTTTAGGGTTTAGGGTTTAGGGTTTAGGGTTTAGGGTTTAGGGTTCAGGGTTCAGGGTTTAGGGTTCAGGGTTCAGGGCATAGCGTTTTAGGGTTTAGGGAAACACGGCGATTCCAAAATCATCTTCAGCGTTGCTCTGCTGAGCTCTCGGCATGAAAGCCGGTCCCCAGGAGGTACGAAAGTGACTCCAGCATTGCTTCCGTGGTGAAGGGCAGACTGGCTATCTCAGTCGGCCAGCGGCCATGCTTCTGTGCCAATCAGAAGAGCATCGAGGAAGCAACTTCGTGGAAGAAAAGCAGTGTGGAACACAGAACTGAGCTTGCTGAGCGTGAAGACTGTGGTGACTGAGTCAAGTGCTCAGCAGAGTGTAGGGGGAACTTGAGCAAGTGGGAGCTACAAGATGAACTTGTACACCTGGCCGTCCGAAAGCCGCATGTAGCGGGCAGTTGCCTTGAATCACATGCGGGGTTCACGGAAACACGGGACCCCTAGAAAGTTGACCCCCAAGTACTCGTAGTAGGATCCCCTTATAAGAAGGACGCCAAGAAGGTACCCCTAAACCCTAAACCCCCTTGCCAGCCAGTCAGACCACGGTGTGCCAAGTGTTTTGAGGTTCTGGACCGGGCCTGTGACGGTCCCACATCCTGGGGATGCAGAGGCACGTGCGTTAGGGTTTAGGGTTTAGGGTTTAGGTTTAGGGTTTAGGGTTTTGGGTTTTGGGTTTTAGGGTTGAGGGTTTAATTAGGGTTTAGGGTTTAGGGTTTAGGGTTTAAGGTTTAGGGTTTAGGGTTTAGGGTTTAGGCGAGGCATACGCCCAGGACTGATTGTAGCTTCTAGTTGGGCTTAGGAATTTCATGTTGACAGGTATAGTATAAAGGGCTGAAGAAGTAGCTTCAAACCCCGTAAGGGTGTCGGGTTTAGTGATTCAGGTTGTTCTTTTTCAGCTTCCGTTTCGGCCCAGGTCCACTCGCAGCCTCCAATCTGTGAGCCTGAGCTCACTCCACCAGCCCTGTCCTGCACCTGGAGATTGGTTCAGGGTTCAGGGTTTAGGGATTAGGGTTTTTGGAGCTTCGGGCTTTTGTAGGTTGTGTGGCTTACAGAAGTTCAGAGGTCCTTATTAGGGGTAAAACAAGGTGTGAGGGTGCACAAGGTTTATGATTTAGGGTGTGTCTGCGCGCAGCGGCATGGGACTACAGCTGGTCAGGTCTTCAAAGGTTGAGGGTTTAGGATTTTAGGGTTTAGGGTTTTAGGGTTTAGGGTTTAGGGTTTGAGGGTTTAGGGTTTTAGGAAGTGTAGGGTATGATGGCAGCGGTTGAGCCATGTTATGCAGAGGGCATATTGGGCTGTTGGCTGCTGGGCTGTTGCGAGTTTTGATGCCACCCTTAGAATTTTCCATGCCGCCCCTCCTCCCTCCCCGGTTCTGCTGATGATGCTGATTTGGGTCCACCGTTTAGGTTTTAGGGTTTCGGGTTTAGGGTTGCCATAAAGGAATAGTACTTCAGAGAACTGCCCTTGCGCGCAACCTTGCCTAAGGGACGATGACTCTGTGACCGCGGTGATGTAGGCAAAGTGACGCGGGTTGTTCTAAATTCACGCCGGGAGACTTTCCTTTCTCCCGGAACCCTAAACCCGAAACCCAAGCCGCAAACGGGTAACCCACCCAAAAGGGACCCTAAATCATCCTAAGTTCAGAACAACCCCCGCCTGCACGGCCGCGCCAGAATGGGCAAGCAATGCAGATGGCCAGTTCTCTAATTAGGGTTTAGGGTTTAGGGTTTAGGGTTCCTCAAGAAAAAAGGGCCCCTCAAGGGGACAGATTTTGGCAGATGCCCCGAAGAAGGGGACCGTATTGTGGTGGCTTACGAAAATAAGGGACCCCTTTACATAGTCCCCAAATAATAGGGTTCTCTGATAATGAGGACCCCAATAAGGTACCCCTATCATCGTAAACCCCATGTAGAGGACTGGCCACATGTACAAAGCACCTGCACGCTAAAGCCCGAGAGTCGCGAGAAAGTGCGTGACAAAGCCGCCCTTCTCTCCTTGGATCTGAAGGGGTGGACTGATGAGGGTTTAGGGTTTGGGGTTTAGGGTTTAGGGTTTAGGGTTTAGGGTTTAGGTTGTTCCGAGCCGCTGAACCAGAAACTTCGCCTGCAGGTGGTTGCCCTGACCTGCGCCAATCTCGCAGCCAAGTACTGGCAACAACGAGGCTGAGCCCCTTGGCTCTGGGGCTTCGGCCGAGGTCGTGGATTTTCGTGGATGGCCCTAGTTTAGGGTTTAGGGTTTTTTGTTTTAGGGTTTAGGGTTTAGGGTTTAGGGTGTAGGGTTTAGGGTATAGGGTTTAGGGTTTAGGGTTTAGGGTGGTTTAGGGTTCCTGCCAGTCTTTAATAGTCTTCATCTCGGCGATCGAACACGTGAGGCATCCCCGAGCAGCAATTGATCGGGGCTTACTTGTGCTCCACCTGTTCGTGATTGCTTGGGATGTTCCCCCCTTATACTAACAGTCCTTAATTTAATAAGGATTATAACATGGGGGGGGGGTACTGTAATCCCTATTAAGGACTGTTAGTATAAGGAGGAACGTCCCAAGTGATAGCTTTGATGCTGTGCGGGTCAGTGAGGCTTCATGCCAAGCTTGGCAACTCGACTGACTGCTTGAGGCACTGGCTTTCCTGCAATGCTTTCACGCGCCAGGATTTCATTGATGCCGAGGTGCGTGCTGTGGTGGTCGCTTCTTTGAATGCTCTACTGTAGGGGTTCCTACAGGTATCATGACTTTTGGGTTTGTGGGAGATGGGAATGAGGTGTCTTATGGCAATTCCCCTACTAAGAACCACTACGATGACTCGGTAGGGCCCTTGGGGCATTTTACAGTTTCCCCTGTTGGGGTTTGGGGGTTTACGAAAATAGGGGACCCCAATTTCTAGACCCCCAAAGAAAGGATCCCCATACCTCCAATACAGGAGCCCCTCCCCCCCCCCCCCCCCCCCCCCCATATTTCGGCCCTAAACCCTAAACCCTAAACCCTCAACCCTAAACCCTAAACCCTAAACAGAGGGCTTTAAACCCTAAACTCTAAACCCCCAAACCCTTAGGGACTCCCTGAGCCGAACGCCATCCTAGATGAGGTGGATGTCACCCTCAGGCTCGAAACAGCTCCCAAAAAACCTTATGCAAGAGGGCCTGTTGGCCCAAAACCCTAAAATAGGAGTCCTTTCTAAGCCTTCGGGTAAGGGCCATCCTAGATGAGGTTCAACCCTAAACCCTAAACCCTAAACCCTGAGGTGGATGTCCTCCGAGTGCTGGACTGCAACGTCCACTGGGACGGGGCGCTGCTGGCCGAGTGGGCCCGCGGGCTCAGTCCGCCCGACTCCGTCGAAGAAGGGGTTGGTCCATGTTGTGGGTTTAGGGTTTTAGTGTTTAGGGTTTGGGGTTTAGGGTTTTTAGGGTTTTTAGGGTTTAGGGTTTTTAGGGTTTAGGGTTTAGAGGGTCTCTTCTCATGCCTTGAAAGAAGGCCAAGGTGCCCGGTCATGTTGCCAAAAGCCGGGCCTAGGAGTTCACCCGCCTTGAAATGACCGAGGTGCCCCTGCTGCTCTTCCTATGTGAGGATCTGCTGCTGGAGGCAGTGGTGCGTCAGCTTAGGGTTTAGGGTTTAGGGTTTAGGGTTTAGGGTTTATAGAAATTGTATATGGTTTGGGTCCCAATAATGCTTTGACCGAAAGTTTTGACCAAGACGTTGGCGGTAAGTAAAGTGAGTATTTGGCCTCAGACTTATACTCGGCTTGTCAGCGGTTTAGACAAATTTCTTGGAATTCAGAATGACACCACGTACGATTTCTATTTCTTTTGTCTTGAGGGTTTTGGGTTTAGGGTTTAGGGTTTAGGGTAATTATAGGGATCTACTTGGTAGCTGAAAGTGGAACGCGCTGAGCAGGCTTCGGACATGGCTGTCATCATGGCGGTGGCGTCGCACGTCATCGACATACTTGCATTTCAGGACTGAGCACCCGCAGCTGCTTGGTTTAGGGTTTTGGGTTTACAGGGTTTAGGGTTTAGGGTGTAGGGTGCAGGGTTTGGGGTTTAGGGTTTAGGGGGACCCTTAAAGGGAAGCCCTTCCTGAATCCTCTTTTTTGGCTCTCTTTTGTCAGGGACCTTATGCAGAGGGTCAATATCCTTCCCCTTATCCTATCCCCTGCTTGAGGGTTTAGTATTCCAGTTGGGATGTTCCCCCTTCTACTAACAGTCCTTGATAGGGATTCTAATAGGGTGTACAAAAATCCCGATTAAGTTAGTATAAGGGGGGAACATCCCAATATTCCAGTCAGTTGCATGAACTGCGCGAGAGGATGACCTCATGTCCTCCTATTGGCCTTCTGAGCCTGCTGCTTAAGATTGATCTTCTTGGTTTAGGGTTTAGGGTTTAGGGTTAGACGCCACGGGTCTCTTGGATGATGCTGCTGATGTGCACATGCTCAGGCTAGCTGCCGGCACAATTCAGGCCACAATCTTCTTGTGTACAAAGTCCTTCGAAGGGCGCGAGCCCCAGCGCCAGGTCACACGTAGAGCAATGGCAAAAACCGTCATGTCCGCTCGGAGGTTCACCTTCTGCCGTCGGGTGAATCATCTCTGCCGCATTCAGGCTACCTTGCCGAGTCTCTCTCCTTGTCTTTCTGTTGAGCTGCATGCAGTTCAGGGTTCGTAGAGTTCTTCACTCCAGGACTGTCAAATCAGCGCCCTGTCCGAAAAGATACTGACAGCGGCGATTGGCAAGAAAGGGTGCGGGGCCTTGGATACAGCAAAGATCAGAAAAGGTTTTGGGGTTTGGGGGTTCAAGAAGACCCTGTCGCCTGAACCAAATAGGCCCCCGACACGTGTCCAGGACGGAGCTGATCCTCGAGGGCAGTGGCAGTTGTGAGCTTGAGCCTCTTCCGGCCTTCCCCCCAGGATGTTGCATCTCAATATGCTTCAGTCCGAGAGTTTAGGATCGTAAGCTCTGAGCGTTTTTCTGTTGGGCATGAGGGTCTGGGAGAGTCGGATACACTTAAGGGGTTGTAGGTGGAGGATGTAGTGGTGGGTAAAGGGCCCAAGGCCCCTTGGTTTCAGACGTCAGGGTTTAGGGTTTAGGGTTTAGGGATAGGGTTTAGGGTTTAGGGGCTTTGGGGCTTTGGGGCTTTGGGGCCCCCTGAGTGCCAAAGCAGAGGCACTGCCACATGGCGAGTCTGACTCGGAGAAGCTCTGAGATGCTCTGAGTAGTTGCAGGGCCCAGGTAGGGGTTGCTCTGAGGGTTTAGGGTTTAGGGTTTAGGGTTTGGGGTTTAGGGTTTACGGGTGATTTTGGGTTTGGGGTTTTGGGTATAGGGTTTAGGGCTTAGGAATGTTTAGGGTCTAGGATTTGGGCTTATCCAGAAGGGTGAAAGGCCAGGGACTTCGCGAGAAGGGGGCCTAATTTAGAACAACCCTGGGCGTGTTCGCAGGTCCTGGCGAATGGGGTAGATGCGCCGGGACCATGTGTTCCATTGCAAACGTGGCTGCGATTGTTTTGCTGCAGCTTTGCTGTAACACATGGGCTGGTGGCCCTGCTTGGCCATTGGCGGCTTGTGTGCGTGGCGAGGTGCACTACTTAGAAGCTCGTCAGACTTAATGTGTCTACTTAGTAACCCCTGGAAACCCCAGTCTAACCACCATAACCCACCTTACTAACCTTACTTACTAAGCCAACAGAGCTTCCAAGTATTGATGCAAGCTCTCGTCCAATCACGCGCCACCGCAGCTGCCACCGATGTTGAGCAGCAGTTTAAGTTTCCTAGCTATTGGGGTGCCCTGAATTTCAAACCCTAAACTCTAGACCCCTAAACCCCTAAACCCTAAACCCCCAAACCCCAGCGCCATCACTGAACTACCCCCCCCCCCCCCCCCCCCCCCCCCCCCGCCCCCCCTAAACCAAACCCTAAACCCCAAACCCCAAACCCCAAACCCCAAACCCTAAACCCTAAACCCTAAACCCGAAGAGAGGGACCCTAGAGTTTTATGACGCTTGCAAGGCAAGAAAGAGTCTGGGTTAGCCGGGGCCCAAAGAGCCCAATACCCCTTTAATTAAGGAATATACCTTAAGTCATGTCAAGGATACCCATACGGGCAGTTCTCTAAATTGGATTCCCTTTGTAGGTCACCATAGAACCTTATAGAAAGGATCTAAAAGGACCCTAATCTGGAGAACAGCCCATACAAATTCAGGGAATCTTCCTTAGTTAAGGGGTATTGGGCTCTCTGGGGGTAGCAGCCTCCCCTGCGGGCGGAGGGGCGCTGGATGTGGCGGTCAGGCGGCAGCAGAAGCGGCGAGGAAAGAAGCCCCCTGCCTCGCCCTGCAAATCCTACAGATCCATCAAACCCTACAAACCCCCTGAAGCCCCTGAAACCCCTGAAACCCCAAGCCCCAAACCCTAAACAACCCTAAACGTTAGCAACCCCCCCTGAAACCTAAGCCCTGGGGCCCTTCCAGGCTTTCGCGCCCGAGGGAAAGTCGGCATTGGAGCTACCCTTCAGACTCGAGCCCCTAAATACCCTAAATAATGAGGGAGGGGGCGTTGCCAATCTTCTGCTTTTTGAGGGTTTAGGTCTGGGAGTCTGGGGTATCTCGGGGTTCACCTCAACCGGGATCGCTATACGATTCATGAGCTGCTCGCGCGCTGCGCGAGAACCCCCCGACGACCAGATTCAGCCCAAACCCTAAACCCTAAACCCTAAACCCTAAACCCTAAACCCTAAACCCTAAACCCTAAACCCTAAACCCTAAACCCTAAACCCGAACAATCTGCAGGCGACCAGGGTAGCAGATGATCGGAGCTATAAGGAGTCAAGGCTTGTGCAGCCAAGAAGGTGCCAATGCAAGCAGAAGCGCGGTGCTGGAAGCACACGCGGCCCCCACCGCACACAGCTTTGCGCGACAGCGCAGCATGCACGCCAACGGCCACGACACGCGGGCACCTCGCTTTGCAGAGCCCGCGGCCTACTGTTCCAAGACTTCTTACGTCCCTTTGCGCAAGAGGGCAGTCATGTGGTTGTTTATGGTGTATGTTGTTTGGGTTCGGGGTGTGCATATGGTGTAGGATTTAGGGTTTAGGGTTTAGTGTTTCGGGTGCAGGGGCTGAGGGTGCATGTGGCAATTCGACAATTCGAGCTCGGGGGCTTATGATCTGCCTTTCGCTCAGCTCTAAACCCGGGCCCAACCCCTCACCTAAACCCCTAAGCCCGAAAAGCCCAGCCCCTAAACCTGAAAACCTCCTACCCCCCCCCCCCCCCAAAAAAAAAAAAAAAACAAAAAAAGAAAACTTTAAGCCCCTGAAAACCTCAACTTTCGTGACGGCATTTGACTTTCCCTTTCCCTCAGGCGAGTTGACTTGAGTGCGGTGGATCCTGCACCGCTGCAGGCCAGGGCCCTTAGAGTTCTCCAGTTCTCCATGATGCTCCTTACTTCAGTCTTACGTACGTCACGCAGTCTGATGTAAGTTGAGCGGTTGCATCTCATTGTGCAGAGCCGTCACAGTCGCTGTATCAGTAGCCACGCACTTCGACAGTTCAGATACAGCCGACGGGCGCCAGAAATCAGGTTTATAGGCACAAACAGCACTCGTCGTCCATGCGCTCAAAGCTACAGTTTCTACCAAGAAGGCTGCAAACGTTTGCAGTCATCTGCGTTCCCACCATGGGCCAATCCTGCTGCTGCGGCCGCGAGAAAGCCGAGCCGACGTTCGAGACATGTTCTAAGTTTGCGGTGATGCCACCAGCTGAAGGCGCATAGTCTGCAGAAGCAATGCGCTCACAAGTTTTTAGTTGGTTTCGAGAGCTGGGCTTGAAAAGGCTTGAAACTCTAAGCTGACGCCTGAGATGTTCTTAAGCCTTGTCTCGAAAGGGATGTGTGTGTGTGTGTGTGTGTGTGAATGATTGCGACGTCTCCGGCTCAGGTCAAACCTGTCCGCAAGCAGAGTTCGACCCGAAGAACGAGGAATTCCAGCTGATTGCCGAGACTGACCTGCTGCCGGGTGATTGCATCACCAACGGTGACACCCAGCTGCCAGCCGGCCAATCACGCGGAACCTACACCCGCCTGTTTGAGGAGTGCACGTGCAAGGGCACGTGATGCTGTGCGTGTTATTTTGTGTGTGTGTGTGTGTGTGGGTGGGTGGGTGGGTGGGTGGTGGGTGCGTGCGTGCGTGGTGCGTGCGTGCGTGGTGGGTGGGTGGGTGGGTGGTGGGTGGGTGTGTGTGTGTGGGTGGGTGTGTGCATGTGTGGGTGGGTGTGTGGGTGGGTGTGTGTGCGGGTGTGCGTGCGTGGGTGCGTGCGTGGGTGCGTGCGTGTGTTTGTGCGTGTGGTTGTGTGTGTGTGTGTGTGTGTGTGTGTGTGTGTGTGTGTCTGTCTGTCCGTCTGTCTGTCTGTCTCTCTGTCTGTCTCTGTCTGTCTCTGTCTGTCTCTGTCTGTCTCTGTCTGTCTCTGTCTGTCTCTGTCTGTCTCGGTCTGTCTCTGTCTGTCTCTGTCTGTCTCTGTCTGTCTCTGCCTGTCTCTGTCTGTCTCTGTCTGTCTCTCAAGACTTCGCGTGCTACATGCCATACGAGTCATATGGAGTCATACTCGGACGTATTACACCTAGTGTCACATCACGAAGGCCCAAGGCAACTTTGAAGGACCCCCCCCCCCTCCCCTCTGTGCCTGTTGTGAGGATGTCCACGACAATGACCAACAGAGCAAGCACACCAAGTTCGGCTGGCGGTATGGACAGACGTATCTGGAGAATGAGGAGGAGCGCCGAGAGAACAGGCAGCAACTAGCTGCGGTCCAGAAGAGGTTGCAGAAGGAAGCCTTGGAAGGCTGGGCGCCCGCAGGTAACATGTCTAAACAGTTGTCTGGTGCAATAGTTCTTTGATCCACTGCTCATGGTCGCTCTGGTGAGGGTCTTCGTGGTTTGTTTACATAGCGGGCTTGGACCTATTGGGACCTGTCACATTCCGGAGGATGAAAAGAAAAGGACAAATCACGTATGGTAACTGACCGGCCGTACGCGAGCCTCTTCCTGTGAAAGCGCCTATAGCAATTAGCTTTAACGCTAAGCGACCCGCCTCGGCAAGGCCCAACGCAGCTCCTGGAGGGGAGGTGACGTTAAAGGGGGGGGGGGGAGGTCGGGGACTGGGGTGGGAAGGATGGGGGGGCTGGGGCTGCTCCCACACACCTGTACACATGAAAAGTGGGTGGTTGGGGGTTTCCGTAGCCTTTCCTGATCCCGCAAACCGTCCGCTTTCAGATCCCGATCGCCTATGGCGGGGGCGCCCAATCCACGCAAAGAAAGGAGCCCGAAGTTTTGGGGTGTTCCAATAACCTAAACCTACGGCCCGAGGCCTCAGATTATTGACAGTGATCCTTTGGACCCCGACGCCCCCACTTCTTCCCCTGTTGCAGCTGCAGCCTCTCCGTCGGCCGGCACGTGCATTATGACTGCTGCTTGGGCGGCCACCGGCAGCTCTTCGTCTGCGAAGTGAGGAGGGAGGGCGCCCTCCCCCTCAAGAACCTCCAAAAAGCATGTAGGGTCAAATGCCTGGGCAGCTCCGCTTCCGCTGAGCCTTGCATGCTCCAATATTCGGTCGCAGGGTCTTTCGTTGTGCAGGCCAGGGCTTTCAAAAAGAGGGCTTGTGAACACTGTTGTAGAATCGACAGTTCCTTGGGCGCGTACTTTGTTTTCGGATATGTCGAGATATACATCCTTCAGAGCGAAGTCGGCGAAGCAGGGTCTGCCACGCGGCGTTCCTGGCCTTTTCCTCGGTTGTATGCATGTGTTTTGGCAGCAGACCGCGACCCGCTCCACGCCGGACTTATCAGAGTTAGATAGGTTTGCGTAGTGAGTGTAGTGTGTGTAGTGTGTCTGGGTTGCGGAAAGGTTTGCAGCTGGTTGTCAATAGTTGAAATAAGTATACCGTGGGCTTTTGGGCTTGCGCAACGCAACTTCTGCACCTCCTTTGCTCCCACTTGCGAAAGTTCGACTAGCCAGAGGCAGGCTGTTCAAGGCAATCCTTCACAATGTGGTAGCTGCAAGTCCAACGGCCCAAGATGCAGTGCGGTGGATCCGCTGGATCCTACCATGCCTTTTAAATGGAAGGTAGGGTTCACCGGGTTCGCGATGGTTTTTCGCCAGCCTTCATCCCCTGAGAGGGAGAGGCCATGCTTCTGCAATCAGAGACGAGCATCGCGAGAAAGC